ATCTGACGGTTATTTCTCGGTTACATAACCGTCATATAACCGTGTCTGCCGGCTGCTGCTCGGTTAATAAACCTTCAAATAAACGTATCTACCGGCTAATGCTCGGATAAATAACCGTCAATTTACCGTATCTGGCGATTGTTCGTCTGTAATATAAGCGTCAAATAACCGTATCTCCGGTTGCATCTCGGTTAAATAACCGTCAAATAACCGGCTGCTGCTCGGTTAAATAACCCTTCTTCAATATGCTTACTAGGTATTTCTCGTTTATTTAGGCGTCAAATCACCCTGGTGTCCGGTAATTTTTCGATTATTTAACGGTTTTCCCGTGTTTTCTGACTAATTTTCCGTTGAATACTCATCTACTAACTGTGTTTTCTTGTTATTGCTCGGAGAATTTACCGTAAAATAACAGCTTTTCTGTTTGTTCCCTGGTTACCTAACTGTGTTCAGGTTTTTTTGCTCGGTTATGTAATCGTCCATTATCCCAGTTTTCTGGGTATCGCTGTGTTAAGCAACGTCGTTTGGTGGTTATTTCTCGTTTGTGAAAGGGTCGAATAACCGTGTTTTTCCGGTTAAATTTCGGTTAAATCACCGTCAACTAACCATGTTTACCGTTTATTCCTGTGATCAATAACCGCGTTTGCCGGTTATTTTTGGTTTTAGGCGCCGTCAAATAACAGTGGTTCCCGGTTATTGGACGAAGAAATTGTTATCAAATAACGGTGTTCCGGCTATTGCTCGGCTGTTGAACCGCCAAACAACCTTGTTCACCGATTATTGCTCGGTTAACGAACTGTTTGCCGATTATTTCTGGGTTAACTAACCGTGTTCGTCAATTTCCAATTTTTTTCTCATTATTTCCCGGTTACACATGCGCGTTTACGCGTTATTCCTCGGTTAAATGATCGTCCAATAGCCGTGTTTTGTGGTTATCGGTTGGTTACACATTCTCGTGTGGCGGTTATTGCTGGGTTATAGAACCGTCAAATAACCGTGTTTACCGGTTAATTCTCGGTTAAATAAATGTCAAAGGACGGTGTTTTCCGGTAATCGGCCTGTAATTTACCGTCATTAGAGCACATTCCAAAGGTTAATAATGGTGAAATCAATACCATATTACGGTAAATAGCTGTTATTACATTTATTCTATGGCTTTATTATGGCTTAGCGCCGTATACGTAATCACGCAATAACCACGTTGCATGGCTACAGAGACGCTGAATTACAGAGACGCTGAATAACGGTATCATGGTGTAGTCCTTCCTAGTTGGGCTAACTGGTGGCCTCTTGACTACTTATTAATCGAGTTCTACGGTTAAATAATCGTGAAGAACGGTTTGCAGTTAACAACCGCAACATGACTGTAACCTTACGACCTACACTGGTAACTACACAGTTAAACGTACCGGTTGCTGAAAATAAGGCCTAGTAACGGAGTCTTTACACGTCGCTGTACATCAAACTTCTGGCCGCTTATGGAGATGGTTCAATAACTGCGTTGATCCGGTGTTATCATTGACCGTCTATGCAAAGTAAAACAAGGATAAAAAATATATATTTGATGTAGAACAATAAATGTTTCACAATTAAACCGAGTCAGTCCAAAGGCAAGTCCAATGTGATAATCCCGGCTTTTTGAGCCAATGCAGACGTCTGAAACAGTAACAAAACATACGTATGAGCATTCGATGTATCGGTTACTACCGATAAACTTGTCCAAGTGCAAAGTCGAAACTTACTGCCAACTGATTCAGGCGCGTTTTCTTGGCCAGCCGGTGTCGTGCGTTACCGAACCATGTTTGGATTTCTTTATCCAAATCCTGTCGGGTGAAATCTTTGGAAACTGGATTCCCGAGGACTGTTTCTGAAACGACAGTTAGCAAGCCATCTCTGATCACTTACCTTCAATCAAGGTGCAGAGTCTGGTGTAGCGGAAGCAGATTTTGTCTGCAGACCCAGCGTAGGCGACATTGACGGCGAATTCGTCAGCCAACGCCTGTCTGAGACATAGGCGCACCAGCTCCGCCATGGTGGTTGCAGTGAAGGACCGGAAATATTTCATCTGTGACCAAAAAAATAGATCAACAACATTTAATTACCAGTTCCACTTGGCGTGATCTCTCAGTCAGCTCACTTTCCAACTTGTCCCACTCACTTTTGCCATGGTGGTTCAGTGAAGGACCGGAAATATTTCATCTGTGACCAAAAAAATAGATCAACAACATTTAATTACCAGTTCCACTTGGCGTGATCTCTCAGTCAGCTCACTTTCCAACTTGTCCCACTCACTTTTGCTCCGGAGGGGGAATGTGAAGCCGGTAGCTGAAGCAGAACTATGGACTTGTAACAATAAGTTGTTAATGCGGATCTTCAGATATCGAAGATCTTCTACCATTGCGTCCATTTTTCGCAGGAGCTTTTCGTTCTGCTGGAGCAGTGCTGCAACCGCTGGGGTTTGGAAAAAGGGGGCAGATTGTGGGGGTAAAACGGGAAACAGGGGAATCTCCGGGGGAGTGTTTAAAGCATACTGTGGCAGACGGTGCACCGTCTGCGGCATCAAATATGCTGGCTGGTTGGATGTGGACGGAACGGATGTGGAATGCTGCGGAGCGCGCTCAGGAGTCGAGTGGAACAAAGTACGGGGAGGCGACTGCGAGAAGCTGGGGTAAGGCGGGAGGTGTGGCACCGTCAACCTTAGTTTCTTCGGAGATGGACTGATGGACGGGGAGGGGCTTCGTTCTCTGATGTTCCTGAAAGAAGTCTTGACAACACGCACGGTAGTCTTACTTTCGACGGGGATGGTTTCGACCCACCTGAACGGTCACATCTGAAGTGTCCAGGTCCAATGTATGCTGGAACTTCTTTTTGTGTTCGCATGCCTTTCTAAAATCATCTGAAAAGTTGATGCGGTCAATGTGATGCCTACCGTAAGTCTGAACGACTTCGCAAGTTAGCTTGATCGATCCAGTTGGCGGCTCCAAATGAAAGCGAACGGCCTCATAAAAGTCCTTTGAGTGAACCTTTGGCCATGTAGCACAATTACCCTCAATCAATGAAGAACTGAGGACTGCACACTGCCATAGGCCTTGTTCATGGAACTTCACTAAACTGTAAGCCTGGTGTGGTATATAGAATTAAAAAGACATTACGGTATAGTATAGTATAGTACAGT